GAAGCAAGAAACTATATTCCTAATGTTTAGAGACTCTGTTAGATAAGAATAGAGAATAGTCCTAATGGTTACATAGGAGATCTCTGAAGTATTCAAACTTCGTGTAGAAATACCTTCATCATGAGGTTATAGTGTTTTGTATGGATTTATATTTGTCCTTTCTGTTGAGGATTTTACACTGTGCAGAAGACAGCATTCATAACACAGAAATAGAGGGAGCTTGTATTCAATTTTAAAAACAGAAGGCAACCTCAGTGCAGAGGACAGAAATCAGATATAAGACATCTCTTGTTCCACCTAAGTACATGATCCTTGTTTTCCTTCAAGTGAGCTGAGTGAGCCTGATTGGAGGTAATGCCATTCTTTGTGGACATAAGATACATGGTTTGAATTGTGACATAAAGAGGGCACCAAATTCAGGTCTCCCAGTCCCCCTATCGGGCTCTAATATAAAGGGTAAGTAGAAGTAGTACGACTTTTTCTTCAGTTTGCACTTTTTTGAAGTACCTGTAGTAACATTTGTTGAGGGGTCTGAACCTGTGCATAAATCCTTCTGGTTTTGTGGACCTGTCAAAGGACAGAAGAGTTGTTCTGCATATTCCTAGGTTCTTTACTGGAATTAGGGAAAACAGTATAATATTTAAATGAGGGAATTTTCTGGCATGCAGAAGAATGTGTGTGGATGCCTTAGGAGCTGCCAGGAGAGGCTGGAAACTGTGAGTAGGGTCTGTCAAAATATTACATGGGTGCATCCACTCATGTATTATTCTTCTGTACCTCCTGCTTCATTCAAAAACTCTTTTGTCATATTCGCTGTCTCAAACATGGACCATCTTATCTCTTGTGAAGTTTGGCCCAGAGATAGATTATTTTAAATGAGAATACTTTGTGTGCAGCTTTCACTGACTTAATTCTATGTGTAATTAATGTTTAAATATAGAAACAAAGGAAGATGATAGTTATTTTAGCAGGCATGGGGAAGAAAGATATTAGATGTTCTTATCTAGCTTGAGCATGATTTGAAAGTTTCAGTCATCAGGATCAGAACCTAATCCAAAAATTGCCATTTGCTTGAAGATAAAATAGGACAGCCAGTCAAACACTTTTGTATCAGTATCTGTCACTGCAATCTGAAATGTTAAAATTCAGGAGAAAACATTCCTTGGCCTTCTGCCAGGGTCTAAAGGGAAAAAGAATCTCTTACTGCCAAGGTGCCAATAGTTGTTATGGTTCACTAGGAAAGGGGTGCAGATATCATGGCAATGGCAGAGTTGTGCCTATTTCTTCCCTAAGCTGCCAGCTCCATCACAGCAAATGGCTGCCCTCATTTTCTGGCCATGAAGCAGCCATGGAGTGATAAGTCCCAGAGATGCAATCATATATCATGAGTTTTCCCTTATATTGATCACTTAAAAGTATTTCTGTTTATATTTGGCAAGTAGTATGGCTTGAGGTTTTTCTAAGAAAAGGAAAAGGGTGGAGGTCTTTTTTGTGCCTTGGATTCCTTCTGCCAAATTTTTATTAACTTTCCACGAGTAAGTACCCAGGGTAATTTTTTTAAATACATTCAGATTTTTGCTGTGGAGGAAAGATGACTGCAAAAAACATTATGTTCTTGTGAGAGTTATATAAATGATTTTACAGTTGCAAATTCCAAACTTTTTAATATTTGCGGTTGTAATAATGTTATCTTCCTTTAGATAACTGTCCCACCAATCAACTGTCTCTTTGGCCAATTTCTTTTTCATATGAATAAGCTTTCCTATAATTATTTTTTAGGAAAATAGTTTAAGATGTTAGGACTGAACAAAACATAGATAGTATGCTTGTCCTTCTGTTACTTACTCCTATCACGACTAAATGTTGATGTTTCCCTAATACTGGAATCAGACCTGCTTTTCCAGTTTTATATTCTTGGTTTCCAGTTCATCCAGTAGAATTGCTAAGTATACTAAGTAATAAATTCTGCTACATTTCTTTATCCTCATGCCTAGAAAAACAGAATGATTATATTTGCATGCCACAGTTTTTATTAAAATTATAAAAATACTATTCAATAAATTGTTATGCAGTATACTTTGTTGGATTCTGTTGATCTGAATTTTCCTTTTTTTTTTTTTTTGTTAAGTTTTTAAGTGCTTAATTAACGTGGCACATAGTAGTATATATTTTTGTTAGCATTTCCATATGTAAAATATTATTTTCTTGGCTTGCAGTTTTATTCTGAATTTTTCATTTGTCTAAATGTATATCATGACATAGCGAATATCTTAAATAAACTTCTCCTTGGAGTCAAACAGGAAAACAATAGATGTTAGATACAGCTGTGATCAGGAAGGAAGAGAAGGACTGTTTGGTGACCTGGAGACTCCCATCACACATCATGGAGCAGGATGTTGTGACACAGCAAGCCAATGGCATTGCTGCAGTTGCCTGTGCTCACTCCCCAGAGCCTTTCCCCTTTCTGAAAACATTTTTACTCATTGGCCGTATGGGTTCACTGTCTTGAAAGAGAATCCTTCCAGTACAGACATGTAATATAGGAGTTGCAAACAGGAAAACTGTTACAAAATTTTAAAGGTAAATATCAGATGAGTTTACACAAGTAAACCTTTTGAGGAAATGTCATTTTCTGTCTCTATGTAAATACTTAATGCTGGTAACAAGAGTCTACTGAGTTATTCTGAGAATGTGAATCCTTTTGTGCAGGAAAGCTCTGCATGTAACTTATTGTTGAAGTTTCCTACCTTGGAATTTGGCATGGAATGTAGAAAAGGCTCTGTTTGGGTCTTCTGATGGATGTAGAGCCAATGGTTGGATTATCTTGAGATATATTGGACGGTCATGACAAGTTTATATCCAAGACCCTGAAATCAGCTTTCTGTGGTGTAGAAACCACACAGATTTTTCCTCACTAGTATGACAATTTCATTTTTTCCTGTCTTTTTTCCTTGGAGAAATACATCTGGGATTATCAAACAAGAATATAATTGAAAAGAAAATATGAATAGTTTACATTTTCCTTAACATTATATTTTCTCAAAACTTAACATTTTAAGGTCATATATTTTTTGTAAGTCAAATACAATGAGTCAATATCATGTTAAAATTACAGTCTGATCCTTAACAGTACGTGTGTAGAACTAGATATCTTGAAGGTCCCTTACACAACAAACCATTCTATCCAGAAGTGTAAAATTACTGTAATGGCAGGATTAGAAATAATTCTATCTTCAAATCAGCATCTGCTTTCCTGTATGGAGGACATACAGTACAGTGTAGTGACAGTATTAGGTTTTTTGCATTGTCCCTTAGATTTTCCAACATACATTCCATACAATCCACAATGACTGTCCCATATATGTGCTGGTATCTACTCCACACCGACTCAAAGGACTTCATATACTCAGATTGTTTGGTTTATGCCTGAAAAAGCACGTCCCATGTAGACACTATTTCTATAACATTCAGGGCATATGTTAATCTAATTTTCATCTGTATTAATTTTCTGCTGATGATGTATACAGACTGTGCCCTTCTCTCTTGACACTCTTCACTGAACTTACTCTACAACAGTGTTAGTAATTGCTTGTACAATGTCATATTTTAGAACAGCTGTTCTTTAGTCATACAGGTGCCAAGGAAACATTCAGAAGCAGACAGCTGTTCTGGGAAGTATCTATAGAAAAAGATTTGGTTTGGTCTGCAGTTAGTAAAGTCTTTCTGAACAAAAAATTGATCTCTGTTCACTGGGGGTCTGAGGGAATTTACTGTTTTAAGGCTCACTAAGACAGTCTTCCTCAGCCATAGAGAGTTAGAATTATAGAATGACAGAATTATTTAGGTGGGAAAAGACCTTTGAGGTCGTGAGTCCAGCCATAAATGACTCAATGCAAATTTGTAAAATTTATAATCATTTTAGCAGACAATGTATATATGTATGTGTATGTGTGAAAGAGGTATGAGAGACTTGGATGAAAGAGGAAAATGCAAGTTCATCACTGTTGAAATAGCTTACGTGGACCATTTTAGTGTTTTTTAAGTGCATATATTTTATTTATGGGAATTTCACAAAATAGTGGTGATTTTCAAAACTGGCTAAAAACTCAGGGAATTTTCCACAACATCTAGTTTTAGACATCTCTTCTAGGTTCTCTGAAACACCCTTCAGAGCTCATTCCTTTCAAAAAGTGAAAACTCAAGCTTTAAGTGCAAATACTTCTCTGAATTCCTATATAAAATAATTTACAACTTGTTGGACAGCTTCTGGAACTTTTGGAAAGTCTCTTAGCAGAAGGACTCAGTTTGGATGTTATTCTTTTATCTGCCTAAATGCTCTTCTCCTGTATCAGGGTCATAATGTCTGAATAAAATTCTAAAGGTCTTATTTCTAATTTTCCAATAGAGTCTCATTTTGCAGTTCAGAAGCCAGTGAAATCTGATCTGTGACAGATTTATTTATATCTTTATATCATTCTGCAAATGTCATTCTGCTGTGTTAAAAAAGGTTTAGCTGTTAAACCTGGATTTTATATTTGTTCCATTTCTCCTTGTTGAGCTACAATACACAGAATCAGAATTGTTGGCGTGAGAAGGGACCTCTGGAGATCATCTAGGTTCACCTGGAGCAGATTACACAGGATTGTGTCCAGAATATCTCCAGAAAAGGAGGCTCCACAACCTCTCTGCACAGCCTGTTCCAATGGTCTGTTACCCTGTTACGATCCTATTTAATTAAACTTTTTAGAGAGATGCTTCTGCCTGAATTAAAGTGCAAATGAGACCATACGTTGAAGACAACAGTATGGATTTGATTTAGCAGTAAATATGAGGTAGAGACAGAGAGATAGAAAGAAATAGAAAAAGGCGAGGGGGTGGTGGGAGAGAAAAATAGTGATGGACAGATTAACTAGAAAATGTCACCACTCCATGGTACCTGACGGTGTCCTGTCCATCCCAATCCCATCCCATTGATGCTCTTCTGGACTTCTTGGTGGTGGACATCCCATAAAACAGAGTTCAATGGATTAATACATGTTCAGACTATGTGGGAGCCCCCAGGTGCTTCCCCTGGGGGAGGCAAATTTGACACTGTCTCTTGCAACAGACTCTGGACCTGTTGTGCCACTTGGATCATGTCCCCTGGTGCGAGGCCTCAGGAATGAGCCTGGGGAAGCTTTGGGAGTCCTTGATGGATGATGACATCCCTTCAGCTGTCCCTCACATGAACGTCCTGTGGATGTGGCCTTTCCAGGGTGGGGAGGTTTTACAGCTGAGCCAGGTGGTGTGAGGGAGGAAGGATGTTCACTCCCTCTGACCAGAGGCTACTCCACACACCCAAAACTCTCCTCCTCCCCCTGACTGAGGGGAAGTGTGTGCAAACCTGGCCTCAGCAGATGGGTCTGTGAGCTATGGCCTCCCCCACCCTGAACCCAGGCAGAGATGATTTTCAGGACAGCTGCTGGGTTTGGTTTCCTTGTGTATACATTCGTCTCTCTCAGCCTTGTTTACTTCTCCCTAGACCCGAGATAATTGAATATAGTGCAGCCTTTATCTTATTGCAAGTTCCCTTAGGTGGCTTAACTCACATTCCAAAGTTCCAGTCAGGAGGAATATTCAGGGAGGGGTGGGATTCAGTGGTTGAAGGTTCTTTGTACATTTTTGCCATATTGGGCAAAAAATCCTTCATTACCCGTGTTTAGGCTATTAACCGTAGCATTTCAGTCTTTCCCACATTCTCACAGAAAAGAGTTTTTCATCCCATTCAGA